CATTTGAAGGGCACACACATGAGTAGCAACTACAACAGAGGTCATGAAGATTCTATGAGTCGGAAATAAAGAACAGCCTGCATCCTCCAACTAGGATCTGCCTCCATTCACAATATCTGGAAACCACCTTTCTGCTGAATTCAGTTAAAGCTTACAGTTTGCAGTCAGACTGAGGAAGGGACTGGGACACAAGCCATTTCATAATATAAAACAATATTTATGTACTGTGAAGCAGGGGATGTCCCCTCGGGTACTGGGGTACTGGCACTTGGGAGTCAGGTATATTAGATTTGCTTTGGGAGTGGGGTGGGGGTTGTTTGGTGTTGGTTTTTCTAGGCAGGGTTTCTCTGTGGTTTTGGAGGCTGTCCTGGAACTAGCTCTTGTAGACCAAGCTGGTCTCGAACTCACAGAGATCCTCCTGCCTCTGTCTCCTGAGTGCTGGGATTAAAGGTGTGAGCCACCATTGCCCGCTTGCTGTTGGTTTTTCAAGGCAGGGTCATAGCTGACCTGGAATTCGCTTTGTAGAAGAGATTGGCCTCATGGAGAGCTGCGTGTCTCTGATCCAGTGCTGGAGCTAAAGGTGTGGGCCACCATGCCACATTGGTACATGAATTTTTAACCTCCTGAAGAATGTTCAAAGACTCTGGGATGAGCTGCTCAGCTCTCCCACATGGACTCTGAGAAAGGCTAGGCTAGAGGTTAGCTGAGTAGGCAGGGTCACCATTGATATCCTAGGGCAAATATCAGAGATTTCAACTTCCTTTCTTCTTGACTATTCCAAAACAATGCCCATCCTCCCTTCAACTGCTCTGGCTTAAAAATACAAGGGAGTCACTACTCAGTTTCACCTTTGATAAAGCTCTGCTCCCAAGGACACATGTCCTCAACACTAGCAGTTTCTTCACTGTCCTAAGGAAGATTCAGGAAGAAGCAACATTTTGCTAAGCCATCTCTCTGCCCTTTACAGCCTCATGATTTTCCTTTCTTTTTCAATAATAGGCAGGGTGAACATCATAGTCCTTGGGTGTCATCCCAGCACAGTGAGGCTAAGTTACATCTTTAGTTTGAGATCAGCACAGGCTGCATAGGGATTCTAAGTCAGCCTCGGTGACATAAAGGGACTCCTTCTCAAAAACCGAAATAAATCAAAATGGGATCAAAGCATAGTGAATCAATCTCATACAAGCTAATAGAAGTCAATGAACCTTCAGAGATGAAGACCCAAAGATTTAAGGGGAATTCCCTCTTTGTTTAGGTTCAGCAAGGCATGGGTGGCAATGTGATTGGACAGTGTGGTAGGAGTAATGCTCTCGCATGGAATGCCTGCCTGTCTGTTCAGATCAGTTTTGCCTGGGGTAGGGCAAGGCTGTCTGGAATGAGGGTCCTCAAAGGAAAAGGGATAGGGTGGCCTTCCCAGGTTATACAGCTTGGTTCGTAGTTCTCTGAATTCTTATTTCTGTCATCCACTTTCAGCAGGAGGATGGGAAACCATCAGGGTAGCCCTTATTTGGAGGCTGTGCCTGAGACTTTGCAATGGTTTTAGTTCAAAGTGCTCAGCACCGGAAAGAACCATGCTCTGGGATATTGTACTCCAGGACCCAAGACAACCACCCTGTGAAACAGCCAACAATAGCTACTGAATAGATGAGGGAGTCTAAGCTTAGGGGAGTTCAACTATTGAACTCAACACCAAAAAACACAGTTCTCATCTCTTAGAGAATAAGAGATGATTTATTCTGCAGCCAAATAGGAGTGGCTGTGGCCCAGGAACATGGGTTTGTTTACCCCAAATTTCCATGTTTCAATGTGGATAAAGTTTCTTAAATTTTATAGTAGCAGAACAAAGAAAATCATAAATCAGGACACATTTCCAACACAATGGTGCAAACATTAAATGGACAGTTATGAGACAGACCTCAACTATGGCTTCAGATGTTATCTGATGACAGCTTTGGTTGCTAGAAAATTAGGGTTTTTTTAACTTAGTACATTCTAAAAGATTGTATCTGTAGTCACAGAGTTCGGTCTGATGTGAGGCTTGCAAGCAGAGCAAAGAGTGGCTTCCTAGTGGGCTAAAGATAGCCCAAGATAAATTATAATTGGGACCTGCAACTTTCCAAACTCTCCAGTCATTGAATCAGGCTCTGCAGTGACACCTTTTCTTTAGGAATTAACCCTCACAGCCTGGGCTACATGCAAGTAATTCTGAGGTCACAGGTATAGCCAGGTCAGACACTGCTGGGATGGACTGGCAGCCACACCACTGTAGGCTGTGTACATTTAGAAAAGCCCCATGATCTTCCAGAGACTCCAGCTGACCACCTATAGGATGGATCGTCATGGCAATCAAATGACAGGCATTGAGTCATCTTTTAGAAGGGGACCTTTAAAAAAAATGAACAGAGGCTGGTGGTGGTGGTACATGCCTTTAATCCCAACATCAGAAGGCAGAGTCAGGCGGATCTCTGTGAGTTCGAGGCCAGTCTGGTGTATAAGAGCTAGTTCCAGGACAGCTTTCAAAGCCACAGAGAAACCCTGCCTCAAAAAACAAAAAACAAAACAACAACCACAAAAAACTAGGAACCAGGGCTGGACAGATAGAGCACTGGCTACTCTTCCAGAGGTCCTGAGTTCAATTCCCAGCAACCATGAGGTGGTTTACAACCATCAGTAACGAGATCTGAGATCTGGTGCCTTTTTCTGGCCTGCAGGGATATATGCAGACAGAACACTGTTTACGTAATAAATAAATCTTTAAAAAAATTAGGAACCAACTGAGAGATGAAGACCACACCTGAGTCCATGGGGGTTTCCGGTATGCAAATTGTAACACACATCTGTAGACCTGCCACAGTCATTTGCATATTGTATCTTCCATGTCACCTGTGGAATATTTGATTGTTTGTTTTGTCTGTTGAAGACAGGGTCTTACAGTGTAGCGCTGGCTGGCCTGGAATTCACTCTGTAGATCAGGCTGGCCTCAAATTCACAGAGATCGACATGTTGGTGCCTCTGTGGGATTAAAGGAGAGTTCCACCACACCCTGGTACCTGTGCAATATTTCTAAGAATTCATTGTATGCAAGACCATAAATCAAATCACAAGAAATTTCAATGGATTGGTTACAATTAGGATAAAAATTAATAGTACCAACATAATTGGAAAATCCATTCTTCCCAGTGGCATGTTGGGAAAAGCATAGCTAATGGCTTCCAAGATGTCAAAGCCACAGCTTTTCCCCTTCAGGCCACATTAAAGTGACTCAAAATGTCTTTATACTCAGAACTGTCCCAGAATTCTTAAATAATGCAAATCAATTAGAAAAAACAGTCCAGAAAGAAGGTAGTGGTAGGGTACACCTTTAATCCCAGCACTGAGGAGACAAAGACAGGAGGTTCTCCATGAGTTCGAGGCCAGCCTGGTCTACAGAACCAGTTCCAGGACAGCCAGGTCTACATAGAGAAACCCTGTCTTGGAAAAAGAAGAGGAAGAGGAGAAGGTGTCAAAAAAGGAAACCCAGCGAGTCAATGAGCACTTCAGAAGGTGCCCCTGCTAGCTCAGCTTCCTGTCAACTGTCTGGATCTGGAATCACCTGGGAGACACATCTCTGGGTGTGTTCATGAGGTTGTTTCCAGAGAGGTTTAACTGAGGAGGGAGGATTTTCCCACCTTCTCAGGTCCCAGACTGAATAAAAGGAGAAAAATAAGCTAAGCACCAGCATTTGTCTCTCTCTGCTCTCTAACTGTGGCAGAACCTCAGGGAGTAATGGCAACATGGAGTGGAATTAGCGCTCTTTAAACAAAGGTCTGAGGGAGTCCTCCCATCACTTACCATGAGAAGGTACAGAAACAACTGCCATGACCAGGGTATATAGGCCCTCAGCATGCGTAGACTCTGACAGCACCTTGATCTTGGAAATCCCAGAATTGTGAAAAATAACAACCGTCCCCCTCCCTGTTTTTTGTTTGTTTGTTTGTTTTTGTTTTGTTTTGTTTGAGACATGGTTTCTCTGTGTAACAGCTCTGACTGTCCTTGAACTCTCTATTGCTATTCAATATAGTATTTGTCTTAGAGCAATAAAACAAGAAAAAGGCTGGGCAATAGTGGCACATGTCTTTAATCCCAGCACTCAGGAGGAAGAGGCAGACAGATCTCTGTGAGTTTGAGGCTAACTGGTCTACAGAGTAAATTTTAGGATAGCCAGGGCTATGCAGAGAAATATTCTCTCTAAAATCAAAATAAAAAACAAACAAACAAAAAAGACAAGAAAAAGGAAGATTCTATACTGAAAAGTTACTAAATGCTCCACTAGGAAAACCCCAAGATCTGATAATTACTTTCAATAACGTAGCAGAATACAAACCAAGACATGAAAATCAGTAGCTTCCTCTATCACCAATATTGAATTTGTTGATTTTCAATAGCTTCCAAAAACTCTTAAGGATAAGCCTAATCAAGGAAGTGAAAGCCACCATAATGAAAACTAAAACACCTGGTGGAGACAGGAGAGACAGGAGTTCAGGTTCATCCATGGCTACATAACGAGTCCAAACTGATCTACTACTTGAGACCCTGTCTCAACTCCCCACAACCAACAAAATGTATACACTGACAAAAGAAATTGAAGATGTCATAGACTGGAAGAATTAATATTGTGGAATGCATAGATTGTTAAAAGCCATCTACAGATTTAATCTACACCTCTCACTCAGCACTAAAATCAACCCAAAATGAACCAGACTGCCTAAGGTAAGGCGTAAAACTCTGAAACAGAGAAAAACATAAGGCGGACACTTGAAGACGTAGGTAAGGACTTTTGAAAAGGGACTTCAGAAGCTCAGGAAACAAATGCAATAACTGACTAAAGACTCTGCACAGCAAAGCAGTCAGCAGAGCGGAGACAGCCTGCAGAAAACAAAATCTCTGCCAACTACGCATCTGACAGAGGACTAGCATGGAGACCCTACAAAGAGGTCTAAAAATTAGTCACTTTTTTTTTCAACTTTTAATGATGGAAACAAAAATATACCTAAAAGCGAAGCTTCTGGAAAAACCATTTGTTCTTCCCTGTCTTGTATCGTTCCTCAAACTTGACCTTGGCTTCCCTCCTCGCCTTGCGTTTCAGAGCTGGGTCTCTAAAGACATCCTTGTTGACAACAGTTTTGTCCAAGGGGATGTCCACAGAGTACCTTGTGGGCATGAGGTGGTTGTAGTTATAAACTTTCACAAAAGACTTGATCTTTGATCGCTTGGCGATTTTCTTCTTGCCCATGGCAGCTGTCACTTTTCGGGGATATCGGTCAATTCCAGCCACCAGGGCATGGCTGTAAGGGCGGTCTGAGGTGCCATCGTCAATGTTCTTCACGATGACGGCTTTGCGTCCGGAGTAGCCGGTTCCCAGCAGAAAGGAAAGCAAATTAGACACTTCTTAATTAAAATTAAAGAAAGCATCCAATCAACATGTGAGCAAATGAATCAGACCAATTTTCAAAAGAAGAAATGCACACAGCCAATACACATTTGAAAAAAAAAAAAAAGGTTGAGGATCCCTAGTCACCTGGGAAATCCAAGTGAAAATCACTTGGACATCCCATCTCATGGCTGTCAAGATGGTTATTATCAAGAAAACAAGAGGCATGCCCTAAGGTGGCAGTTCCCACCTGTGGCAGGCCCCAGTATAAAGTTCACAAAAAGAAAGAAATGGCAAATGCTAATGAGGAGGCGGGACAAGAGGAGTCCTGGTATACACTCTGCTGGTGGAGTGTGAACAGGAGCAGCCAGTGTGGGAGTCAGGAAAATAAATAAATAAATGGAGTGGGGACTGCTGGAGAGAGGGATCATTGGGGAAGAGCATCGCTGCTCTTGCAGAGGACCCGGTTAGATTCCAGGCACCCACATGGTGGCTCACAGCCTTGGGTACTCCAGTTCCAAGGGATCTAAAGCCCTCTTCCAAACTCCAAGGGCACTGCATACACACAGGGTATACAGCAAAACTCCCATACACATAAATAAAATTACCACATAGTCAACTGTACCACCCCTGGGTGTGTACCTGAAATCAGCATGCCATAGACATACTTGCACATACATATTTATTGCTTTGTATCAATAGTCAAGACATGGAACTGGTCTACACACCCACCAGCTGATGAATGAATAGAGGGAACGTGGTATATATTTATCAATGGAGTTTTGTTCTGCCATTAAAAAGAACAAAATTATGTCATTTATAGGAAAATGAATGGCACTGGATATCATCAGGTTGTAGTAAATAAACCAGGCTCAAAAAGACAAATATTGTATGTTTTCTCTCTTACTCACACACTAATCAGTTGTCTAAAATTTCCTTTACCATTTCTGCATCAATGATATGTATTGTGTTACTGGTGTCTCTGTAATACATTTTCCCCCCTCTGTGTGATAGCTTCCAGTTATTGGGTATCCAAACTGCTTTTGTCTGTAAACTTCCTCATATTGGTGAGTACCATATTAGAGATTAAGTCTCTGAACTTGAACTGGAAAAAGTATATTTTAAAAATCTGCTTTAATATAACAGAACCTACTGAATGTTAAGATAAAAATACACATTTTTATTAGAAACAACTTTGTTTTCTTGAAACAAAAAAAGCCAGTAAACAAAAGCATTACTTCCATTTATTTATTTTACTTCCCATTTTTATAATTCTTCATGATTACTGGCTTCATGGGAGTGTTTGCTAGACTGTGTGAAGGTAATCCAACCACACACTAGGAAACTGAAAAGGGTGGACGGAGCCTTTTAGGTTAGTCTCCAGGTAGTATGTAACACAGGATCTGTAAACTCTTCATACACCGTTATGTTGTGCCCAGGGTCCGGATTTGATGCCCGCACAAAGCCTAGAGAGGAGGGTGACAGTGCCCCTGTGATCACCTTCTCCATCATTGTAATCACTGAGGTTTATGGCACCAAGTCACATGGATTTAGAGTTCATATTGTCTCCTTTTAACTGAAGGAATGCTTTTGAGATGTGCAGATGTTATAAAATTGAACCTTGGAAGGGACCTTGGATCAAAGATGACACTAATAAAGCCAGCACAAGTGAACAGGATAATGGCCGACATGATGCATCTCCAGTTTACAAGGTTAGAAACAGAAGCATTGAGTAACCAAGTCTGACAGCAAGATTTCCAGAAAGGCCCGGGGTTAGCAGGAGGGGGGCCTGGGATTATCAGGGGTGGGGGGGTTGGAGTTAGGAAAGTGGGGTCTAGAGTTAGGAGGGGCCTGGGGCTAGCAGGAGGGGTCCTGGGGTTGGGGGGGGGCTGGAGTTATCAGGAGAGGGAGACTGGGGTTAGCAGGAGGGGGGGCCTTGGGTTAGCAGGCCTGAAGTTAGCAGGAGGGGGTCTGGGGTTATGGGGGGGTCTAGAGTTAGAAAGAGAGGGGTCTGGAGTTAACAACAGGGAGGCCTGGAGTTAGCAGGGGGGCCTGTTTACACAATGCTTATTCCCAACCTTACCACCTTCAGCATCAGCCCCAGGTCTGTACTGAGCTTTAGATAGTAGCCATGAGGGAAGAGGGCAGTCTCAGGAGCTCTCTGTGTGCTTTGTGTTCCTGTAGGCTTAGAAAGTACCAGTGTGTGTGTGTGTGTATGTGTGTGTGTGTGTGGTGTGTCTATGTTTGCATGTGTGGATTTGAGTGTGCATGTATGAAAGTACATGTGGAGACCAGAAGTTTCTACCTCAGTGCTTTATCACTTTTATGTTTTTGTTTTGTTTTTTGCTTTTTGGATACAGGATCTCACTAGGTAGTCCTTGACGGCCTGGAGCTTACTATGTAGATCAGGTTAGCCTCTAACTTTGAGAGATCCACCTGCTTCTGTATTCCAAGTGCTGGGATTAGAGGTGCACACCCCCATGCCTAGCAACCATCTTGGTATTGAGACAAGATCTCCCCTTGAATCTAGAACTCAGAAATTTGGCTAGACTGACTGGCCACTGAGTTACCAGGGAGCCTCCTGTCTCAGACTCACCAATACTGGGATTACACCACGTTCTACCATGCCTGGCTTTTCATGTGAATGCTGGGGTCCAAGTTCAGGCCCTCATGCTTGTGTAGCAAGCACATTAGTGACTAAGTATCTCCCCAGCCTCAGAACTCTCTCCATAAAGTCAACAACTGTTTTTGCCATCAGTAGGAAAGTGAATTACTCAGCCATGTCCATATAGATAGCTCAAGTCTGTAAAAGGCATCCATAAATTACCCTCCCAATTAGCTGAACATTTTCTTAACTGTTTCCAAGACAAAATAAAGCAAAAACACTAGAAATAGTAGAGAGGAATTGATATGAAAGTATCTTGAGTGCCTCTCATCTAATTAGCAAGAATGGAGAAAGAAAATGTACACTGAACTCTCAAAGTTTGGTTCTGATATCATAAAGCCAGTAATATGCCTAGTGTGCCCTCATTTATGATTAATAGTTCATCACTGCTCAAGGACAGGCTGCAGCTCAGTAGTGTAGGCACTGGGAAGGTGCCCATGATCTTGTGGGTAACATGATCAACTCTCTCTCTCTCTCTCTCTCTCTCTCTCTCTCTCTCTCACACACACACACACACACACACACACACACACACACTTACACATAGCTGGAATTTTCTTTGCCCCCAAGTCCCATAGCCACTTCAGCCCCAAATAAGCACGCAAATGCTATATTAATTATAAAACTGTTGGCCAATGGCTAGGGTTTCTTATTGGCTAGCTCTGTCTTAATTATTAACCCATTTCTATTCATCTAAGTATTTATTTCCATGTGGTCTTATCTTACCAGAGAAGAGTCTGGACCTGTTACTCCTTCCTACATGGTGTCTCCCCACAGTCTCCCTCTGCCTACCTTTCCCATCTCCTAGTCTTGCCTATTTTCCTGCCTCTGTTGGCCAAACAGTGTTTTATTCAACAACCAAAAGAGAAACACATATACAGAAGGACATTCCCCATCACACACACACACACACACACACACACACACCAACCCAGACAGAAATGAAGTACAATTGGGGTCAGTGGGTGCAGGACAGGATAGTAATGCAGTGTGAAGGGGGAGAAGACAGCAGCAATGTGAGTCTAGTGTCACTGACTTGGACAGCAATCAGGAATATTTGGATTACTTTGTTAATTCCCCTTTTACAAACAAGGAAAAACCCATTCTGTTGCACTGGTTGGGATCCAAACCTAGGGAAGCTGTGTTTGTACAAGCACTTATAAATGTCTATAAGAGTCATGAGATCCTGGAGCCAAGGCATATATTTTCATCTTTACTTATTTTCTTTTAGTTTCAAGAGATGGCTTAACACTTTTCATATTGGGCCTGAATACAATATCAAGCTCTGAACTGAGCCATCAGCAGTTAGTTGAATTTGATCAGATATTTCAGGCTCCTCCCATTTGGGCTTGTTAGGCAGAAATGATGGCTATGTGCCACTCACAGCCCCTTGTTCATTACTATGATCATATTTACAAGAATGCTCCGGCTGTGAGTCCTGTTGCTATGTAACTGACTAGAACACAAACTGCTGTTACAGGGGACCAGAGTTTAGTTCCCAGCACTCACATTGTGTGGCTCCATATCCAAAGCCCTCTGTTATATGCCTCTTACAGGGCTGTTTTCTCCAAATGAAACAGGAGGGAGGGGGAGGCTCCTGGTCACATGACTGGGAACTCTTGGAAGATCCTCAGCCACCTCTCCCCAGTCCACTGTGGAGACAGGAGATTCCTGGACGCCAGCCTGCTGAACTGACTGGGAGCCCTGAAGAGAGCCTGGGTTGTAGCCTCCAGCTGCTCCCAGCTGTGCTGAGCCCAGGGTGGTTTGTGAGCTGGGGAAATTGCTCACCCTTCCTCCTGTTAGTAACCCCAGTAGACATTCATTGGCTCACCAGCTTGAGCTTCAGTGCAGGCATTGATTTGGTCTGTCATGGGTACTCTTTCTGTGTTTTCCCTAGGAAGTCTGTCACACAACAACTCCATGGGCACCTGTAATCACACACAGATGTAAATGAATTCTTAAAGAATAGCAAATAAATAATTGATTAAAAGTTTTAAAACATAAGCCCATTTCTCATTGGTTTCTGGCCTCTCCAGAAATGACTGACATACCATAGGCATCACGTGTCTGCAGATGTACTGAGTATTACTGAAGCATCAGTACCACTCCTGAGCTTTGCACTGCATAGGTGATATTGGCATGATACTCTATCTTATCTACAGAGGAGCCTGGAAAGCTGTTCTCTGTTAAAGGGTGTTCTTGGGCTGGGATGGCAGCTCAGTTGGTAAAGAACTCAACTCACAAACATGAGGACCTGAATTGGGTTCTCCAGAACCTTTTTTGTTTGTTTGTTTGTTTGTTTGTTTGTTTTTAAGCCAGGTGTCTGTAATCTTATTCCAGAGCTGGGGATGCAAAGACAGGCAGGTTCTGACTAACCACTCTAGTGAAGTTGATAAAGGAACATATGAAACTTACTTCTCTTAACTTCAGTATGTCTGTTTATCAAGTTAATTAGTAAAGATCATTCATAATCTCATCTCCTACTGACTACCAATAAAATTTATCTGAGTGAGGCCAGGTGTTGGTGGTGTTCACCTTTAGTCCCAGCACTCGGGAGGCAGAGGCAGAGGCAGAGGCAGGCAGATCTGTGTGAGTTTAAGGCTAGCAGAGCGAGCGAGCGAGTTCCAGGACAGGCTCCGAAGTAATACAGAGGAACCCTGTCTCGAAAAACCAAAAACCAAACCAAACAAAACAAAAAAAAAAAAAAACCCTTATCTTATTGAACACACAGAAACACACAATTGTCATAATAGGTATACATCAGGGAAAACTAGCAACGATAGATAACTGTATTTAGCTAGCTATGTGTAGATAAGTATACCCAGATAAGTATAGGGAGTCTCCTGGAGTTCTGTTGATATTTTTTTTTCCTTTCTGTCTTTCACCTGCATATTGTTCTATAACTTTTTTTTCTTTTTTTCTTTTTTTTTTTTTTTTTTTTTTTTGCTATTAGGGGCTGGAGAGCTAGCTCAAAGGCTAAGAGCATTTGCCATGTGATCATGATGTCCCTAGTTTGTAATTCCAGCTCCAGAGAATCTGATACCCTCTTCTTACCTCTGGGTTGGCACAGGCATGTGCACCCTCCACCACACACACACACACACACACACCACATGAAAACATACTCACACAAAAATAATTAAATAGAATAAAATTAAAAATGTTAAAGTAAGTTAGTTATTATAAGCTGGTGAGATGGCTCAGCGGGTAAATGGCATTTGTCACCCAACCTGATGACTTCAGCTCTACCCCTGGGACACACATGGTAGAAAGAGAGAACGACTTCCAAACATTGTCCTCTGCCTTTCACTCATGAGCATGCATGTGCATAATACTATACACAGATATAGTAAAGATAACAATAAGTTTAATTTTTTAAAATATTATTATCACCATCATTTGGGTTATTACTATTGAAACATGTTTTTTAGAGGGGTACCATCAATTCCCTTTTTCAGATAAGGAAACTGAAGATGACAAGCTTTCAATAAATTGTAACCTGGGCCATTTAAACCTTTTTAGTTTTTGAGACAGTGTCTAATTGGTCTAGAACTAGCTATGTAGACCAAGCTGGTCTCAAATTCAGAAATCTTCCCTCCTCTGCCTCTGACTATGTGCTACCATGCCCACTTCAACCCAGTCTTAGACTCCAAACCCATATGTGCAATCTATGTTGATAAACCTTCATGAGAACATTGACTAAAAATTAATTGTTCAAGTTAGTAAAGTCACAAGTACAAAATTTTAAGTTTAAATTATAAATCATTTTCTTATTCTCCCTATAAATAAAGATTTTAATGACCATTTATAAAGAGCTTGGATTGCTTTTGGTCACATTTACAAATTTAATTAAATGCCTTAATTATTTCAAATTAAAATTTGAAATTTAACACAACCAGTATCTTTGTCCGTATCCAAATTATCTCATTAACAGAGACCCTTCCAGTTAAGCAATTCTTGTAAATTTAATATGTTTGTTATAAATGTGTCTTAAATGCCTTAATTATTCCTCTGTTTATAAAATAAATAAGACTTAGACATTAAATAACAGGCCTAAGCCTGTTACTCACTGACATATTAACGGGTAGAATTGCAAATCAAGTCATCAAGTCTATTAGACATTACAAATGCTAAAGTGTTAAACAGCAACAAACTCATTAACACATAAATATTAATGCTATTTGTTGAATTTACTTCATCATGATATTTAACTCTAAGTATCTTTAATCAAAGCATTTACACAGTTTGTGTAGAAGAGGAGAATCCTGTATTATGTGAACGGCCTCATTAATAGCAATGGTTCTGGACAGAATATGGAGAACTGTGAAGGCACTGGAGGACACCTGGGAACAGGGTGGAATAGAAAGGGTACCATCTACAAAGAGGAAACGCCCTGAGCGTGGTCCAGTTGCATCAGCTTTGCCTGGCACACTGCTGTGCTCACTGCAGCATCTGGGGCAATCCAGCTGAAGCAGCAGCTGGTGTCTTCCTAGGCTGGGGAGGTCCAAGACAGAGCTTTGAAAAGATCCTGATGCATTAGAAACTGCAGCACGTGGTACACAGAAAGGAGAAGGGAACAGAGGGAAAAGATTCAAAAAGCTAGTTAAAATTCCAAGAGGCAGCCGGGCAGTGGCGCATGCCTTTAATCCCAGCACGTGGAAGGCAGAGGCAGGAGGATCTCTGTGAGTTTGAGACAAGCCTAGTCAGAGAGAATTCCAGAACAGCCAAAGCTACAGAGAAACCCTGTCTCCAAAAGCAAAAAACAAAAAAAAACAACAAAAAACAAAACAAAAACAGAAAATTCCTAGAAGGTTAAAGAAGATGGTTTAGAAAGTAAGGGTGCCTACTACTATGCAAGAACGAGGGCCTGTGAATCCCTAGCACCCACATAAACACACACACACACACACAAACACACACCACACCACCACCACCAACAACAACAAAAACAAAAAACATAAAACATAAAACATAAAAAACAAAACCCCAAACCCTAGAAGCCTTGTGTGGAAGCAAGAAAAAAATGCCTCAAGTGATAGATAAGTAGGAATTTGAACAACAGAGGATTTTTCCCGAGACTAGAGCCGAAAGAAATCCATACACTGTCTTTCAGGTGTTGAAAGATAAGACCTGGCAACCAGAATCTTATGTTTGTCCAGGACAGCCTTTAGTCAGGAAAACAAATCAAGATATTTTCAGATGATGAAAACTAACAGAGCGTGATGGCAGGAGACCTACACCAGCAGAGTGGCCAGAAACCTCTTCACAGCCAAGAAAGGCTAAACAGAAACTGGAAATGTGGGAAAAGTTCAAGATAAAAGAGGAAAATGTAACTGGATATAATAGGCAGTCTTCCCCTTGTGTTTCCTAAATTGCATCTGATAGCTGGAGCTAAAATTATGACATTGTATGACACAGCTCTTGCTGTAGCTAAGTACTTCAGATAACTACATTATAAAGAGGGGTGAAAGAGTCTGCAAGTTCCTACTTCTTACTCAGGTAGGGAAGTTTGCTATCATCAGTAAGCAGGACTAAATAATGCATTTAGAAAAGCTAGAGCAGGCACTGAAAAACACATGCGAGAGGGCTTCAAACATGTCACAGGTAGGATGGGAGCTGGAGACATGGCTCAGCAGGTAGGCGTGCTTGCTCTCTCTCTCTGTGTGTGTGTGTGTGTGTGTGTGTGTGTGTAGCCAAAACAGCATCTGAAATGTATATGTGTATATATACATACATATACATACACACACAAGAACATGCATGCACATACATAAAAGAAAGAAAAAAGGGAGGAAGAAGAAAGGAAGAAAAGATTGGTTACACATAGGGGCTGGCAAGGTGGCTCAGCAGATAAAGGTGTTTACACCGAGTATGACAACCCAAGTTCCATCCCCAGAACCATGTGAGAGGAGAGAGCCAGTTCCCACAACTGTGGGAACTCTGAACTTCACATGTCCAATGTGGCATATGTGCACACCATCACTTCTGTCATCACAAGACAAATAAATAATCTTTAAAAGTTTTAAAATTGTAATTACCTATAGTAAAATTCACTCTTTTTTTAGAACATAGTTCTGTAAGTTTTGACAAATATACAGAACAATGTCACCACCACTAACATCAAGATAAATGACGGGTTCTATCTATCTATCTATCTATCTATCTATCTATCTATCTATCATCTATCATCTATCTGAGATAGGTTTTCTCTGTGTAGCCTGGGCTGTCTACAACTCTTCTTATAGAACAAGCTGGACTCAAACTCAGAGATCTGCCTACTTCTGCCTCCCAAGTACTAGGCAGTACTAAAAGCATGTGCCACCACCTCCCAGCTAAATTTTTCAGACTTATTTTATTTTTATGTGTATGAGGTTTTGCTTGCATGTCTGCACCATGTGCATGCCTGGTGCCCACAGAGAAGCTGGAGTTACTGTAGATAGTTGTAAGCTGCCTTGTGAGTGCTGGGACTTGAACTAGGTCCTCTACAAAGACAACAAGCACTCATAACCACTGGGACGCTTCTCTGGCCCCAGAGGATGGGTTTATCTTGCAGAAAAATATTCCTCTGTGCCTCTTCTCTGCAGCCTACCCTCCCCCCATTCCATAACTCATTTGCTATCCCTGTGGTTTGGTCTTTTTCATGGGGTCTTTCTGTTTTGGAACATAAACAGAACCATACAATATGTAGCCAAAGTATGCACATAGAGGCATACAGTGTGTGAATCTGGGGTGGTAGCCTTAATCCCAGCCACTAGGAGGCTGAAGTAGGGAGATCAGGAACTCAAGTCCAGCCTGGGCTACATAAGTGAATTGAAGGTGAGCCTGGGCTACAGAGATCACATTGGGGGTGATGGGCTTCCATATCTTCTGC